AAACGCAAGCTAATCACTGTATGGCATTCCCTTTTGTTTTGTAGCCTAACATCTTGTGTTCTGGTACAGTATTATTTTTAATGTTTTACAAAAAGAGTACAGTAATGCAGTGCATGATAATTTAATAGTTCTGTTGTCACATCACTTTTCCTTCCCTTTTATTTTGATTGTGAGAAAAAGACAACCCTTACCCCTCTGTTTATAATCTTCTTATATTTCACAGTGATGGGATAGAATAACTTTCCTCCATTTGCACTTCTCTCCTTTCTGCCTCTGTCTCATTTATTACCAAAGATTTTTGCATTCTTTTTAGCGTATGCATGTCAAAAGATCTATTTTAACATATTAAATAGGAAGGGAAAATAATAGAAAGTATCACCATGCTTGGCCACTACTGTTTAGTAAAGGAATGTTGAATTCTGGTGATTAAATGTTGCCTTGATTTCGGTTTGTTAGAAATCAGTTTATGAATATCAAATGCAGGTCTGCTATGAGTTTAGAGATTTTCACACCTAAATTTTCAGTCTAGGAACTTCACCACCAATAATAAGAATTAAAGGCAATGTAAATCATGTCTCAGATGTAAGAACTGAGATATCTGTATTGAAGGAAAATCTTGCTTTTCTACAAGTATTTAAAAGGTATGGAAAAATGCCAAAGATTATAACAATTTCAGAATAAAGTTGGGGTAGGTATAGACAAATATTAGACTATATAGATTATTCCAATAGTATGTCACTATGCAATGTTTATTGATTATTTAACCAAGTGCACAAAAAATCTGCTGTGCAGCACGCTTTTGAGTTATTTGCATTGCAATAGATACAACCATAGCAATCTTATCAGTGAGCTGTCTTAGAGACTAAATTCCTCCTCCTTAGGGTAAACACTGTGGCATAGTGGGTGATGAGAGAAATTGAATAATTTTCAAATGAAAGAGCCATGAGAATTACAAATGAATCCCGAATCCAAAAGGTTACAACTGCTTCAAGACGCAGTCACTTCACAAAACTTGGCAAATTGCTTCGAGCCCAAAGTGATTTTCCTATTTAATTTTCCTAAGTTTATTAAAAATAAAATTGGAATACCAAAACAAATACTATAGTTCATGCTTTTCATCTTGCAGAGGGAACTTGGTTGCTGTCATTCAGATACAGGTTGAACACCCGTCCAGAATGCAGTAATCATTGGTTACCTTCTGTGATAAAGATCTAATGAATGCATTCACTGTAACCAATGTATCTAGTTTCCGAGGAAGATACTTTGCACCTAACAAAGCTGCCCACTGGGTAAGAGAAATCAGTATTTTGTCACCTGGTCTGTTTTTCCATCAAAGTTAAACCTCTGACAATAGCTATGAAAATGATGTCTAGAGCTTAACATGATTATGTGAGATCCAGGAGACAAATGAAAAAAGTGTATATACTACTCTAGCAATTGAAATCAGTGAAAAATAATAGTTTGGCAAAATAGACAAGACCTGAAATAGCTATTCTTGGGGTTCTAGAGTAGAAAAAAGCATACTTATCAATTTTTAAAGAAATAATTTATTACAAATTAATTGGAACGATCTCTTACTCCTCAGGTAAACTGTTATTCCAATTCACCTGGGAATCTAAATCAAACTTTGTTGGAAAAATCTATCACAGACATTTTCATCTAACAGAGTGATCACTGGGTACATTTCTTTTGTAGCTAAGGAAAGCCATCCTTACGTAAGGAAATTTCTTCATCTATGAGATGGTGTGAACTACTTGGATTCTTACGTAGTCATTTCATCCCTGAGAGCATAACTAAAGTTAAAAATGAAATAAAAAAAAATGAGTTCAGGTAATTTTAGTATAACTAACCTCATTCCCAAGGTGCTACTCACACTCTAGCTTTACTCACTGCTTATCTTCCAGCAAGGCCTAACATTCTTGTCAGATATAGACCCACACTACAAGAAGCTAAGAAAAGAAAAAGAAAAAAACTCAGATCTAAAATGAGAAAAAATAATTTCTATGAGAATAAAACTTTCATATGCAAGCTTCTCGCACTATTTGATTTTTTCCTTATGAAGCAAATACAATATTCTCCAGATTATCAATATTTGAGATCCTGCTTTTTTCTGCAACAACCTGTACATGCTGAATTTGTGATCTGAATGCAGGTGCCGTGGATAGATATGACTTGAAGTACAAACATTTGTTCACTGAAGTCTTCCAAATTGAGATCCTCGCAACAGTAAAGCATTCTTTTTCAAGTCTGTTTGTCCAAACTGTGCTAGCCCCTTTATACTGTATTGATTGATTCACAGTGAGAACTTTTCTAGGAATTCATTTAGCTCTGCTGTCTCAGTTCCCTTTCTTTGCCTTTCATAATAACAAAGAATTCCTAGAACACTTTCCAGCATCACAAAATATTATCTTATTTTTCATTACTGATTTAGATTACCCGTCAAATCTGATATAGTGGTAACTTGTATATAGGTATACATACAAGTACAAGTGGTAACTTGTGCTAATAAACTCCAGAACTCACCACATTTAATTTTGTCTACTGTATTGCTGCTTTTACAAGCTTCTACCATTGTAAAATAGTAGAATGGCTTGTCTGACAAAATACAGAAATACTTTTCCTAACTCACAATTCTCTAACCAAACTGTCAAAAAAAAATTAGCTCCTGCTTTATTACTGATAGTTACGCCCAAACAATACTTCTGCCATTTAGTGAAAACAGGAAGTTCTCTCTAAACATGACAGACTACACAGAGCTTTTCATCTGAACTGTCTTGAAATGTCAGTGACATTCAGTGGTAACAGTTCTGTCATTATCATTTCCCTCTGCAACTCTGGAATCCCATGAAATACAACTGGCAGGGCTTGGAATCTCCAGTGAGAGGTTTTCCTATTTGGCACAGACCACAGTCTAGAACCACTCAGAGAGCAGTTATGACAGGTAGGTTAACTAGCAGAACCTGTTTGATCAACTTATTTTATCCCTCAGTACAATCCTATCTTCTTAGTTTTGTAGCTCTGGTTACTACATTACCTTGTAATAGAAACTGTACACGCTTACTTTGATTTCATACCTTAAAAAAATTGTTACTGATCATTTAAGTAAAATGCACTAATCAGACATGCTGAAGAAGCTACTTTCTGTAGATTCAGTGAAGAAATAAATTGCAACACATTAGAGGAAAGAAAAGTATTCAGACAGGCCTATCTGGGACTGCCTACCACTCCCTGGTTCCAAGCATAATCTCTTACCTGGATTCTTATTTTTTATGGAAGTACGAATCCCTCTCCTTAGGTGAAAATCTGGAAAAGGTTAACTTAATGGTATATCACTTCATCTGCGTGAAAAAAGTGTTCTGCATATTCTTTCATTCACCTTCCAAGCATTTTTGCTTTTCATATGTTACCAGTTTGCAGTCTGCTGACAGGACTACATCTTTAATCTTTGATCACATCATAGTTTAAGTAAAGACTTGAAAATTAACTGTGCTGGTTTGCCAAAACCTAAGTACTTTTTGCAGTTAAATGTAGAACTTCAAGAAAATGTATCAGAAGTATGTGGTAGTAGGATTAGTAATATTAGGAAATTTCCTTTCTGGGACTGCAAAATGGGAACAGCTGGTTGTGGCTCAGTGGTGAAAAGATAGCCCTATTGTAAAGCATTAGTTGTAAATCTTGTCAAAGCTATCACTGCATGATCTCTTTGTGTCACTATACACTTTTAACAGATTCAACTGTGCACCAAACTGACTGAAAATAATGCAATCAGTAGTCTTTTTCTCACTTTCTATCTCTCATTTACAAGCTTACATTAAAACACAACAAAAAACCACATGTGGAGTAGAGGTCATTTAATTTTTAAATTTAATTAATTAAATTAAGATCCTGTGCTGGAAAAGTCTGTAAGACACAAAGTTACGACGTGAACCATTGCTGGATAAGCTTTTGCTCATATGATCAGGTACTCACTGGCTGGCATCTACATCACGTTCTCAATATTAAAAGTTTTGGAAGCTAATTAGGAAAATGTTAACATTGTTAAAATGAAATTTTAGCACAGCCTTTGTCAACAGAGTCTGGAATTTCACACAGGATTTCAGAATTAGAGGCATTTAAACCTCAGGATATGAATCAGTGGGTGTAAATCAATTACTTGAGTAACCACACGTATGGACACTACTTGGTAAGAACAATGTGATCTATCCAATACAAAGAACATATCTGGTTCAGGGAAAAGGCTCTAACTGTTTTGTATGCCAAATGAAGACTGCTGTGGTCAGGACCTTCTCATGAACAGTTTGTTTCAAAGTACTGCATTACTAAGAAGATTAGGATTTGTCAAATATGAATGGATTGCTCCCATAAATGGGTCAGAATGTTCTGAAATTTTGAGGGCATTGCTTTCTAAAGAAGCCAGGTTAAGTAGTGTCCTATAAAGGTATTAAGGAAATGACTACATTAACATTTTTGAGTGTTCATTTTTGACCCACTCTCACTGAAAGTTTAATAATTTCAGAGTAAGAAATGCCTTTCTTTAAAGGAGATTGACAAAGATATCCTCTTGGACAGATGACCTAGACAGAACCTGTACATAAATTAGACTGCGCCTGCATGTAAACACAAAAAGAACTGCTGCAACATGACTTCCTTTATAACTATCAGAAATAGTTTTGTTTTTTTTTTTCAGAACAAGACATACTAGCTAAGTAGTGGAGATGGAAGTAAAGCTGAACCGTTGCTAACAAAATTGTACCTTTTCAGTAACAAAAGCTTGCCTTTGGTTCATTTACTTTCCTAAGAAATGCATTTTTCTCTTTCTTCCTGATTCTTCACATCCTTTTTCATACCTCATCTCTTTCCATTAAATACTAAAAAGTAGATATAAAACAGGATTGCTGGGATGTCATGTGCTTACAGAGTTTGTTGTTCCAGTGAGGAAAAGAGGCTTCTGCTCTTCTTGTTTAATGACTTCATCCATATTTGGTATTTTGTTTTCCTAGGAAAGAAGCAGTGGACGTTCATTATCACTTCCTGGGAAACCTTCATTCATTTCTCGAGCCACATCTCCCACTTCTCCTCTTATATTTCAGCCTGCCCCTGACTACTTCAGCAAGCCAGATTCAGCAGCTGACAAGCCTGGCAAGAGACTGACTCCCTGGGAAGCAGCAGCAAAATCCCCTCTTGGTCTAGTGGATGAAGCTTTTGGGCCACAAAATATGCAGGAATCCATTGCTGCTAATGTAGTATCAGCTGCACATAGGAAAACACTTCCTGAGCCGCCAGATGATTGGAAACAAAAAGTTTCTTATGAGCCTCCAGTTCCAAGAGCTAGCCTAGCCTTATTAGGAGGGAAGCAATCAGGTGTTACATCAGCCCGAAAAAGCTCCCTGTCTGTGTCAAATGCCACCACACAGGCTGGCTCTCAGCAGCAGTATGCTTACTGCAGTCAACAGTCCCAAACAGATCCTGATATAATGTCCATGGATTCCAGGTCTGACTATGGCTTGTCAACAGCTGATTCAAACTACAATCCACAGCCAAGGGGATGGAGGCGTCCAACATGAACAGCAGAAGGGCCTAGCATATTTTCCCTTCTTCCAACTTCACAAGTTTTAGATTTGAGTTGGAGAAGGGAAGTTTCTTGCTGGCCTCACCATCTCTGAACTAAAGAAATGAGGAGGCAAAACTGAATGGAGCACAGTTTTCACATGACTTCAGGGCTAGCAGCTGCTAGAATACTCAGTTTTAAACCTAACCTAAGATAGTTCTGTTTGTAAAAGGGGAAATTTACACTTTTCTTGGAAGTGGGATGGGAATGAAGGTGGGACAACCAGTGTCCTCATTACAAAAATACAGAAAGGAGTTAGATGGAGACTGTACAAGCATTTGCAGTCAAGTTAATGAGGAAAAGAAAAAAGAAATTAAAACAAGGGCAATTTAAAGGCAAGTATTTTACAGGATCTTGCAGGTTTTCTGGATGCGTTAGATACTCGAGTTCCAGATTACTAGATAGAACCAGCCTTGAGAAAGTGTCAGTGAAAACTTAAGATTGAGGAACATTAGATTATTGTCTTAAGTTTTCTTCACTTCATTTTACAAAAGAGCTAGCAAAGTAAATCAATGAATAGTTACACTAGGGTAGCACTTAAAATACATCTGTGTTCATGGTACCTGAATTTCTACAACATGGAGGCATATGCTAGTTTTACACAGTTGTACATCTCAGATTGATTTCATGACTGTTTCAATGAATTTTTACATGTTGTAATTAATTGAGCAATCTGAGTACAAAGAAAGAAAGGTGTTAGCAACAGAGACCAGTACCGTGATACTTGAACAACAACAAAAGGGATGATGAACGTGTTTAGATTGTATTTAAACTGGATAGCAAGGCAATTCTGTAATAAACTCACATGGGAGTCTGGAACAGCATTTTCTCCTCTGTGAAATGCACTACTCACTGAACATTTACTGTTACAGCATCTAACAGTCTGACTGGCTGGGCAGTTATTCTTAGTATCTAGGTAGCTCAATGTTTAGAAGGCTTTTGATTTGTATTTTAAGTTCAAAAACATTAAGTTGATTGTGAACATGAAGTTGATGAACGTAAGTTGTTCATCAAGCACAGTATCTGTGTAGAAGGCGGTTTGTGAAAGAGGGTTTATGATACGTGTTACAATGGTGTGAGTCTAGTACAAGTAACAAATATTTGGACAGTTGGTTAGAGTTAAGCTATCTTGATGGATCTGAAGAGGTGGCAAATAATTGTTGCTAATGATAAATACCTTGCATTTACAGCTTATTTAAATAATAGTCGTGTCTAAAAATATACACATTGCAAGCTTCTTGGGTAGTTTAGATGTTGTTAAGGCATTAAATGAATACTGCAAGCTTTACAAAGCTCTCTGCATCCTCCTCATTTTTTGGGGCATTCTCTAAGGACCTGGTGGGCACAGCCAACTACAACTACTACAGAAACACTGATAACTATCCGTTTTCAATAAAGTTGTCAGCTCTGCGTAAAGTGATTAGATTAGAAAGAACTGAAACAGATACATAAGAAATAACATACTACAAAACATTCCCATCTGCAAACAGCCTTCCATTATAGAAATTATGAAATACAATTGGTATAAAGAAAAGTAAACCAAGTTCATTTGAGCAGAAACTTCCTGTGGGAGCAACTAACTGCAAGAAAAAGATACCTTTAAGGAGTTTAAGGTGGCAGTAATTCTCTAGTCAAATATAAGACTCCTTGAAATCAACTGATCCTTTTGTCCAATTAGGAAATGAAGACATGGAAGCTGTAAATCTTTAAATTTGGGTCATATTGCTATAGCATCTTAGAAATTTATTTCATAACTTATGAATATGTAGAACAAAGATGATTTAGAAACATTACGTGAACAAGGCTGCCATGGTATGTCTGACAATGAACTTTGCACCTGGGAGTCATACACTTACATAATCAGATTAAGTTTTCCTGCCACATAAAACAAACAAACAAAAAAATCTACATTACTCTCTTCAGCTCTCCATAACGCCCTTTTTCATCACTACTGGGAATATTGCCACTGAAACCAATGGGACTGTAGTAGTTCCATTAGCCTTAAGAGCATGCGTTTGGATCCAGGCCTGTTTCCCTAGAAATACATGCAAGTTTTCACCTGATTTCAGCATAATTGATATCTAGCAGTTATGTTTATAAGTCATTAAAGTCTTAGGTATTCAATAAATGTTAGTGTACATGTATTTTACAGAATGAGTACATTCTGAAAATTATTTAATGCTTACATGTTTTGCTGAACGGTGGTATGTATTATAATAATAAAAACGATTCCCTGTATCCAAGACAAGTTCAGATTTTTGTTTGAAACCACATCTTTACACTGTTCAACTAGAAACTAGATTATTGAGTTTGCAGTAAGACATTTTTTACCAAATGCAATTATTTTAATTCTCATAATCAAGTGTCTGTCTTTTGAATTCTCACTGAAAATAATGTTATGAATACTAAGGTCACGTGTGAAAGAAGGAATTGAGTGCTTAGGAAGTGTCTGCTTAATTTTTTGGTATGTGCAATTCAAAATTGTAGAATTTTTTTCTAAATTTTTATATTTCAAAAAGTTGAGAAATAGAATGCTATTATGAGGGATTTAATGTTGTGATCACATGGCAGTTTAGGAAATCTTACTTCAGGATCAAGCATTACAAAAAACACCCAAGTAGGCACCAAGCACTTAAGAACAGCAGAATAAGAGAGCTTCAGACAGAATCACTGACTTCCTTTCAATGTCCCAAGAAAAAAAGAAAACAACATGACAATTTCCTTCTATTGATAAGGGATTCATCAGTAAGTACTTCTATGAACATGAGAATTAATGGTGCTGAGTTTCCTATGAATTTGCATTTTATTATAGATTAACTTGGGTGTTTAACGTAATCTACAGATTTTTCATTCCTGCTGCTGAAGATTTGCTAGTTCTCCTTCCCGTATGGATTCTCTCATGTTTAATACTGGATAAGTTCATCCTATAGCATTTCCCTCAATAGCAACACTGAAAAAGCATATACATCCTCCATTCAGGTGCCTATTTTAAAAAAGTCTGTGGGAAATTGATTATTTTTGAGGTCTATTCCACTGCCACATAGAAAGAAACATTTAAAATATTATTAATGAGAGGACAGACACGCGTGGAAGCAAGACAGATCATGTAGCCTTGTTTACCGAAGAAATCAGGCCAAAACCAGATTGAGACAATGGACTGATTCAAATGGAAGCAGCAGGCCCAGACTATTAATTCAAATGGTAATGCATACGTAGCTTTATGAATAACCACAGAGCATCGCTCACTCTGTTCTTCACCCTATTCCTCCACTAGCAAAGCATCTTTCTATCACAAATATTTGTAACTGTTGAGTGTGAGTTCTGAATATATTAATACAAATATTTCTTACATTTGTTTTTGAATGCACAGATCTGTTCAATAAATGGGAAAAAAAATCTTGATTTATTAAATGTGGTTTTTGTTTACTCTCCATTGTTGCTGTTACTATGGAAAAGATTAGAATACATAATATAACTAAAAGTTTACTTTCTTCAGTTACAGTAGATGATGACAATCACTATTATTGTTCATAATTGTTTTCATTTTAGTTCCCTTTAATGCAACCAAATATCTATTCACATTGCATTTCTGCTCAGTCACAAAAGGCTGCATTGTCCTTATAAAAGGCTGTTCATTTCTAAAGGCTTTTTGTTCACTGCAAAAGACACTTTGAGAATGTACACCAGAGATGTAAATTGTATCATTTAATAAAGTGATTTGACCAATCAGATGATAAACACGATTTTGCTTTCTCTAAACTCTTGTCTGCTTGTTTTGAATAATCTGAACCCAAGTAAAGCCTAATCTCTTTTTTTTTCTCCTGTACTATTTTTAGACTCACTGACTGCCTGTCAGTGACCTTGGGCTGATACGAGCTTCTAAAAGCTTAAACCAACATCAGGTCAAATGGCAGCATGTCAATTCAGCAGAATTTCACTTTCATACTGAATAAGCAGAGAAAGGCAACAGAGTAAAGCACAGTCTACCAAGGTAAAATAATATGGTCAGACTTCTTAATCATTTGAATTTGAATGCATGAATCATTTTCATGCATCTAAACTTCTGTTTATTCACTGTAGGTTTGTTTAGAAGGGCTGCACTTCTGTATTCTCATTTATTCTTAATTGAGCCATACTACTTAAAAAGAAATTAAGTCTGAGAATAAATTGTGAACCCCATCTTGGCATTGTTCAGACTATTCAGTGAACAGCTCTGAAGGATGTAAGTATGTACAATCTAGCTATGAACATTCAGATCAGATTTCCACTCTTTAAAAAAAAATAGGCCTGATGAATCACTAAGCAGTTTTTACATTGGTAAAGCAAGAAGGCTTTTGCACCAATCACTTTATAGAGGGCACGTCAAACTTGTGAAAATGATAAAACTTGGAAATAGTATCTTTAAATACCTAAGGTACATAAAAGGTTTTCAAGGTTGCAAGAAAATCAGTATTATTCCTTCTCATGGTTACAGGCAGAATTTTCATTTTATACAGTAAGTTCTTGAACAGATTGTAAACAAAGAAAGCATAAATTAGATTCATTTTAATGCAACATCCTTGAACTCAGCAATCGGCAGTGGCTTAAAAAATCCCACTACACAGGTGAACAGGTGCTATTTTCGTATAATGTGTCACCATCCAGAAAATATACTTCGAGTTTCTTGACATTCCCTAGATTCTCTGATATATTCGTCAACATTCAAGAGCTTTTAGAGTGACTACAGGACATCAGATGGCTCTGTTACTGAACATGAATATTTGATGTATTGAGTCATTTTAGGTCCAGAAAGAAAGGTGGATATTTCCAGGCCACTATCTATCTTTCCTCAAATTGAACATTAATGCTTTTATGTTGTTCACTGGATTCACTACTGGATTTTAAAAACAAGTTGTGTTGCATGTGATCCTTGTACATCAAGACAGCTTCATCTACATCCTTAAGCATAACTTAGATTGCACATGTTTGAGGATGTTTTGCTCTGAATACTGATCTACAGTTCTCCCTTTCGGCAGTGGGATGGCTACGCGCATCCTCTTGTCCACTGCTTTGTGCACAGTTAGTGTGAAGTCTTAGAGTCAAGGAGGGGAGAGTAACATAACAAGATAGTTCAAAAGGGATTACATAAATTCATAGATGACAGGCCTATGAAGAGACACTAAAGAGGACAAGCAAGCATGTACTTTCTAATATTCCTAATTCTGCAATTAAGGATGCTCGTGAGGGAAAGGGATGGTAGCATGTCACTAGAGCCACAAATTCCTCTTACATAGGATCTCCTACTTCCATTCCTAGAGTAAAAATTCCAGGCCAGATGTATTATTGATTGGACCCACTAGGTATTTTTCATTGCTCTTAACAAGGAGGGACTCAGATATTGTTCTCAAGTCGTCTTTCCCTCTTAAGCCAGCTACATCCAATTTTTGCCAGTTACTCAGGATTCTGTTGATTTTTGAGCTTGTATTTGTCATCTTACTGAGAGCAGCAGTGTTATTTAACACCTTACCTTTTCACTTCCAGGGTTTTCTATCTTTACTGTGATGTTGTACAATGCCAGAGTTACAGGACCAGGAGAATGATTCAAAACCATGACTTCAGGAGTCAACCAAGATTCCACGCTGCCTTAAGTGAGTCAACAGGGTGTACACGAGCCGGCAATGTACACATGGCCACACATGTGCCCAAGCGACAGAAAAGGCTAACATCATCCTCGTTTGTTTAAGAAACAGTGTAACCAGCAGGACTAGGGAGGTGATGATCCCCTTGTACTCGGCAGTGGTGAGGCTATGCTCTGAGTACTGTGCTCAGTTTTGGGCCCTCCACTACAAGAAAGGCACTGAGACCCCAATGTACATTCAAAGGAGGGCAACAAAATAATGTAGCAGAGGATAAATCTAGCTATTGAGTAAGCATGTCCTGTGAAAAATACAGCTCAAAGAAAACTCAGAAACAAGACAAAACAAAAATCTTCCGACTACATGGAACAAAGTCCTAATTCCTTTGGACTAAGCTAAGACAACGGGAGCTTCACTGTTTTACCACTGATGTCAACAGGGTGACAGCTTCACCGCAGAGAAAAGTGCAGGACTACAAACTAAAACAGGTCATAAATTCACAACCACTAACTGATGTCAGTAGTTCCACAGTGAAGCCTATTGTTTTAGAAATGTAATTGATGAAGTAGCAAGTTTTCCTAACATAGTCTTCTGTTAGCAATTTGCTGTTTTCAATGTACAAAAATACGTAAAGTTATCTCAGTTGGGATTCTTCAGGCCCAAGGTACTGTATCAGTATCCTGTGTAATTAGTGTGAAGAAGCATACTCAAAGCAATTCATCCACAAATACATGGCTAAATTATGTGGATTGGATATGATATCAACAGTCTATTTGAACAGATGAGAATTAAAGAGCTAGTGGCAGTGTGAAGAGCACAGAAAGAAAGGTGACTGCACATCTCTTTCTAAATATACAGATCTATCTTAAGTACAAATATTGTGAAATATTTGGCATGTAAAAGATTTTTACCAAAGGCTGAAGCTATTATGGGAAGTGACATTTTAATTTTGGTCATACTGGGATAAGTACATGCTTAAGTTACAGGCTAGATAGTAGAATACAAAGGTAAGTTGAGCAAACAGAGAAACAGAATATATGCCTTGCTTTCCAGACCTAAATTGTTTTTGTATTACAGTATATCCTGGTACAATCAGTTCTCAGTGGACTCAGTAGCCCCAAAACCATACTGCTTGGGCATGCAGTACCAGCTCAGACTGAGAAATAACCTGAACATGCTCCTCATCTAACTAGACTTGATCTAGAATAAGGAATGAAGACCTAATACACAGTTTTCTCACTCCAAACTCACCTTGGTTTGCAGAGGTCTGATTGAATAGTTCTGTACCTGTGATATGGATTACCAACAACCTAGGTAACCCATCCCCCATCCAAGGATACTGAATGTTTGTTATTTTGTTAACTGTACAGAACTTGAGCTCTAGGCAGATACTTTTTCAAAAGTGATATGTAGGTTTCTCAGAGGAAGGGATCATTAAAAAAGCCATCTCTTTCTGAGTTTTAATAAGCTGCTATTAACCCTGGCAGAATTATACACAGATCACTGCATTTTGAATGTGTATTAGCAGAGTTGGATATGATTGCTCTGTATTTAACATCAAATGAATAGCAGTATAAACACAGGGTTGGATGACAGCTGGTAGATGGGTAACATTCAAACACTATCAACAATGGTTTTATTTTTTTCTTGTGACCTTTGTCATAGTTTCTACTCCTTTGAATGCTCTGCCATGAACTGCATATCAGAGGGTGGAGATCAAAGTGATTTAGGACCAAGTTCACAACTACAGTAAGAGCATTTCCAAGGCACAATGCATTTTTCCAGATATTAATTTGACCATTTACATCTTCAATATTTATTATTTTCTTCTCCTTTCAATATTTGCCACTACTCATGATTTTTCTTCCAGACACTATACTGTGTATGAAACACATTTTTGACAGAAGCATACGTACTTGCTGAAAAAGGAACCGCACTGTAATAAACACTCACTTTCATGTACACAAAATGTTCACAGAACACAGAAGATCTGAGACAGGTAGAGAGCAAGAGGGAAAAAAATGCAAGAAATACAGTGTAAAAGAGAAGCAGATAGATATTATTTTATGAAACTGCAAGATGTAATTTCCCACGCTTTTTTAGGGATTGGTGGTCTCTGGAACACATGATGCCAGATCCTGTGCAGACACATGGTCCTGAACAACCTCTTGGCAAAAGACTTCGTCAGTAGGTACTCTGGTAAGTACTCTGAAAAGCCTTGCTATGTCTATTTGTACCACTGGAGACTCCATGCCCTAATCAAGCCATGACAATAGAAAAATAAAACCTAGGAAAAAACCCTGAAGATTTATTTTTATCCTCTTTTATGAAGTAGCTGAGTGGACTAGCACTCTGTAAACACCCTAGAACATGAAGAACCTACACACACCATTAAGTAACTGCAGTAAATAAACTGGCAGGTAAATTTCATTTATTTTCTGCTAAAATATAGTCAGTTTATCACTAAACACTTCAATCTTACTTACAGAATACTATCATGTTTTTTATACCTCGAACTTTTTCAAGAATGTGTGGTTTGATTGGAATTGGTTGTCACTGTTTCTGTTTCCTTAGCTGACAAAAACACAGATCCATCTCACACAAAATTCAGGCTGGGAAATTGTAAGTCGGTATCCATAAGGAGTAATATGTGAAGCTGTTTGCAAATCTTTACTCCTAGTGCAATTTAATCTTAGTTAATAGGAAATGAAGGATCCTGAACTGCACAAGTTCTAACAAAGCATTTACCTTTTTCAAAAAAAATCACTGACACTCCTGAAAAGATATTCAATGTATTCTTTCAGAGTCCAACTTCCAAGCTCTAAACAGCAAGACAAACAGCACTTGAACAAAGTTTAGAGCTGCCCAATAGAGGGCAATGGTACACAATTCACATAAAGTTAATAACCTATAGGCTCTCACTGACAAGGACTACTTCAATAGAGAAAATGCAGTAGAGTTGAAGGAGATCACCAGACACCAACCAAGGTACTTACCAGCTAGCCCTCATTTACACTGTAACAGAAGTGAAACTTGAGTGCTATAAGACTGAGCTAAATAAAAAGAGATAGGAGGTATTAACAGCATACTATTTTATTCCCACCACATACTAGCTAAGTATTCCTGACCT